ACAATACTACAGCGAAAATCAAAGTTACGCCTTCTTTCTTTGCATATACATTTGGGGCGGTGTTATGCAAATCTTCCCACACAGTTACGTAGACATGTGGGGGCGTGTTTAAACGAGGCGTTTTAGGAGGGCGTGGACGAGTCTTAACTTTTATAAAGAATATCTCTTTGGGTTTGAGACTTTAGTCTTTGCAACTTTAGGGATCTTATCTATTCACGAACAGCTTGTAACACGCCAAAGAGAAAGGAAAATTTGAAATCGCATCATATGACCCCTTTAATGTTAAGATACAGCTTAAGGTATGACAACTTAAGAATGACACAACTTTAGGGAAACACAACCCAGATCCTTAAACCAAGTAGATATTGAATGCAACTTCCAAAATAAGTGTAAAACTGGACACCGTGGAGGTATAGTTTTTATTTACCATGAAAGGGAACTGTTTTCGAATTCAGATCTATACATACTGTACAGATCTATACATATAAATACATATAATTTACTACTAATAAGTTAATGATAATACTAATATTTATACATTATAAAAGTTTTAACTATAGTTTAATGCATTCCTGCTGAATTAGTCAGTTTCTTTCAAACAAATCTTACTGACCCCAATGTATACACAAAAATATATAATATATTACAGAAATATTCACAGAAATATTGGTACCTTTCTACTCATTACAAAAAGTTAGCACTTCCCACCATTTAAACTAGCTGAATGAGTATTTATAAGATTGTTATATTAATTAGAAGATAATGGTCTACATAAAGCATCATTACATTACAACTGTTAACCAGGGGGTAAATTGGCTTGAAACGCTCTATCATAGCAACCAAAGGCACCCCTATTTCTCATAAACAGGTTATAAACCTAGGACTTCTTGCATCAAAATCAAATAACTTAATGCTCAATTCCAAATTTAAATTGTTAACATTTTTGTAGAAAAAAGTCTTGGATGCTTTGGCTGCATCTGAATATTAGATTGAGATTTCATCATGTTTCCTTTTGCATGGTAAATGTTTTTTGCCTTTGGGCTTATCTCGCCACAGGCACAGAGTGAGTCAGGGCTGCTGCCGGTACTCCCTCCAAAACAATATGTGCACAACGCCCCTGATTCCACTGGTTAGTAAGATTGGACTGGGAACAATATGACATGATGGAAGGGGAGCACAATGATTGAGAAATGAGAGCAGGGACAGATGGAAGCATCGATCGAAGTTATTAGTTGAAAAGTAAGAGAGCAGCGAAATGAAGAGCGGCATAATGGTGTGCAAGGCATCATGGGATGGATAGAATTAAACCATGATGTGATGATAAAGCACAAGCTATAATTCACAGAGGAGAAAAGAGAGAGAAATAAGTGTTGAGAAGCAGGTGCGCGGGCGGAAGGGAAGGTAGAATGAGGGAGGCATGAGAGATGAGGGTGATTTGTTTGAACAGTTCACTCATACTGTTCAGTGTGTTGGGCAACTAGAGAGGGTTACAGAAGTCAAGCACTGTGTGGGAGTGTGTGTGTGTGTATGTGTGTGTTTTACATGAAATGTGTCATACTGAATGTGTTGTCTATCATGGAAAGATCTGACCTGTGTGAGTGTATGTTGATTCTAAAGGGTGCATGTGAGTCATTTTGGAGGCGGGTGAATGACCGTGCGCCACGTACGAGC